TGACGAATACCACCTCTTGACCAGAAGTGGCGACCAAACAACCAGGAGCTTTTAGTACCTCTGGACGTCCGCCTCACCATCACTACAGAGCTCCACAAATGACAGCATGGCAGGAGACTCACCACAATAACCATCTGTATCAAGCATCAGAAAACGGAACCCTGTAAAAGCCACCACATGGATAGCCTCCAACTCGTCACACCTTTATAGATCGATAAAAAAACAAAAGCGACAAGTGCTCCATTCGTGTGCAAACGGTTGCCCTCAATGCATATGCATGTATGTATTCAGAGCAAACTTAATGGTGACTACCGATCAACAAATTGTCAAAAGATGCATGTTGGGGTCAAATAAGTCACACTTCCACCAATTTCACTACGCGCAAAATGTAAGAAGCCGTTGTAAAGGCGAAAGGCCAATTTTCCACTCCGGTTATTGCAAAGCGTTCCAAATATTCCAGCCTCAGAAGTTGTCACGACCATTAAGCACACAAATCCTCGCATTAAAGATGATGCAGATCTACTCAAGAAAAATTTGCTAAAAGAAGTTGCTATCATTTAGTAGTGTCGTAGCATTATTATAACATCAGGAGTAAGGTCTGTGTTAATACAGCGGTCAGCCTATTGTAGTTGGCTCCTAAGCTTGAAAAGAAGAGCATCAAATTCCACAAGGTAGAATAATACACATTCGTTCGAACACATACCAAAGTGGGAGCGTACGGCTTGCACACCCACTTGAATATGGCTCAACTGCGTGTGCAAGAAAAAAAACAAAACATTTAGATTGGGTCAATTGTAGAGGTATCAAAAAACACTAAACAAATAGCAGCAAACTTGCTACAATTGCAAAACGATCGCATGAATGGATTGCATTTATAATGGAGCTGCTATACTGGTGCTTAGCATACTATTTCAATTGATAAATGTTTCTTGCAGCAAAAATGTCATTTTAAAAAAATTGCATCTGCTCATCATCTTTAATACATATTTTGCATTTAAGTTAGCTACATGTAATGGAATGATTTACACCCTTGTTTGAATGCGCCGATAAGCCGAATATCACCGAAGATGGTGCGGAGCTCAGGTGCGGTGGGTTTCGTCGCTTCGCCGTCGTTATCGTTAGCTTTATTGCCCTCATAAATCGTTTTCTCATATGACTTGTTCATATGTGGTGAGCGAGTGGGTGTCAAGTTTCCAGGTAATAGTGATTTTGCTGTTATTGAATCTGGTTTAGACTGGGCACCGCTGAAGCTTATGACAGTTTTGTGCGCGAAGGCAAATTCAACATCCATTTGGCTGTTCCTGCTTGAGATGTCGTCCTTTAGAAGGTAGGACATTGGCACTTTCGAGTCGCCACATGAAGAGCTAGGCCAGGCTCGATGCACCTAGTGTGCCACTTTCTTCGTGCTATGAAGTGAAGTGCCGACAAAGCGTTGACGTAAGAGGCTTGTGGAATGTATATCGCAGCATCAATGTAATTTTCGGAGTCGTCTAATAATGGCAAACTTGTAGTCAAAAATCGGAGATCTTATCCCCTGGGGAGCCGTTTCCATTTCACTTGGAGTTTGCACATGAGAAATATGGGACTCCAGAGATCTAGCAATCTTGTATTGCGATTGACGAATTTGTCTATGTTGAGTGAGGAGAAGAATCGGCTTTCATCACTATCTGGGGCTCTGGAGTGCCTGTATCTAACTCACTTTTCTCTCCTTTGGCAGGCAGCAGTCGTGACCTGGATTTGTCGGAGAAGTGTTTCTTTTCTGCTGGAGGACTTTTGGAATCTGGAGGATCGAGAGTCCACTTATGACGGGTAATCGGAGGGAGGTAATGTCTACAAGTATTGGTGGGCGAATACAGCTGTGAGGAGCAGATAATGCGTAACTAACCTCTTTGTTGGTGCATTTAGACAATCGCCAACGTGGATTGTCAACGGCTAATTTGCCTAGGGTGAAGGGAGTTAGGAATCTTCAACTATGAAATAACAGACTGGGCTGCCTACTCTATTGTATCTGCCAATTTTGGGAGTTAAGGGACATTGTGTCTTTGTGACATACCC